ACAAATTGATTGGTGCCACTAAAAGGGTAAGAGAGGAATCCATCCATTCATTTTTTTTCCACTTATGTAATTCAGGGTTGCAGGGGGTTCTATCCCATGGGGCAAAAGGTAAGGTATACCCTGGGCAAGTTGTCTGTCGATCACAGGGTGCAAGACAAGAATGCTGGCAGAGAATTTATTAATGGCATAGTTATAATTTCTATCATATTTATCTTATCCAGAGCATGCCCATTGCTGGTGTTTACTTCTAACATAAAAGCTGCTCATTAGAACGTCATACATTTAAACATGAAACACATGAAGTACATTTGCACTTTCAGTGACAGATACCTGGAAATTACTTTGACTACTTTGAATTATTCATTTTACAGAATGAATATACTCTGTGATTTTCTGTAAATACCAACAGAATAAAACATGTTATTATCTGTGTTCTATTAGCTGTAATACCTGCAGTATAAAACAGGCTTAGTAACAAATACAGACCGAGAAGAGAAACTATTTTATGCGCTTTTACAGCTGATATAGACGATTCACTGCAGTCTTCAGACACATGTTGCTGTTCAGAGAAAAAAAGAAATCACAGCTGGAATCAGAATAGAATAAATTCAAAACATTTTAAAAAACAACTGTTGAGGTTTTCTGCAAAATAACTCAGCTTCCTGAAAGTACCAGCAATCCCACTTAATGGTGTATCATAGAGATGCTGGAAGAGACTGATCTGCCTGTACAATTGTGCTTCCAGCCTGTATGTGCTGACCATCTTGGTTATATATATATATATATATATATATATATTTTTTTTTTTTTAAAGCAAGCTGTATAGTAAGCCAAAACAAGACCAAAGAACCCTGCACAAGAGCAATCATAACATCAGTTTTGGCACTGGCTGCTGTGCACAAAGAAGAAAACAGCTCGCATGCACCACCTGTGAGATGTGCAGTATACATATTACTATGGTGATCGAGTCAGGTTCAAAGAGCTCCACCTTGAAAAGTCTGCCTTTAGGCTCAATATACACTACGATCCTATTGATCTCACTTCTTAGTTCATCTCTCCAGTGATTTCATCCTGATTACAGCTTGACAGACAATAACATTGAGGATGTGGATAAAGCCTACTGAAGCTACTCCTTCTTCTACTTTCTTTAGGAGTAAAGAATCTCATTTCCCGTACTACAGTCTGCAGATTATTACAAATGCCCATAATTAAGAAGTGTGCTGTTGGTCTAACTGCACAATGCAGCAACTCTAAACTTAAAATTGAATTCAGACATTGTGTAATATAGCAGTGTAAATACACACTGAAACATCCAGAATGACAGATTAAACAATGTTCAAGTAACTTTTCCACAAAAACTTCAAGCTTCTCAAATGTAACTTTTAATATGTTTGCTTGGCCCTTTAAAAAATAAATGAAACACCTTAGAATTTAGACAGGACAAGATATCTGAAATGTCAATTAATCCAATTCTGTTTTATAGTCACTTAATCTATAAAACATCAGAGAAGGAAATTAATTGTCTTATATTTTGTATTCTGTGACCAACAGCAAAAATTCCAGAGTAAAAATCATTTGGGAATGTGTAATTATGCACAATAAATAGCTTCAACTGACTCATTAATCAATAAACGGCTGCAGATTAATTCTTCAGATATCACTAAGGAGGCAAGGAAACTCCTTTGTAAGACATTTAATGATTCAAATGGCCAATTAAGAAAATAAATGGATAATAATTACCTAAACTGCATCTGCTATGACAGTTTAACAACACATGAAAGAGTTCTGCCTGTTATTTTGTTTATCCAACAGTACCTAATGGAAGACCTTCAGCTCAAAGCTACAACAGTATATATGAGATGACTACATGATCACTTGAATCATGATTAACATCCATTGTCAACTGTCCACTAGAGGGAGTTTTAATCTGTCTTTAGGGAAAAATAAAATAAGAGTACATAGATCCCTCTTCCACATTCTCCATCTACTGGACTGAACTACAGCTTTGTGTTGTCCAGTTGAGGAAAGCTCGGGGCTGCTTCCTGCTGTCAGCGTGCATGATATCATCATCTAAATGAGGCCTTCGAGTCTCAGTGTGTCTTTGCATGCTCAACAATGGCATGCTATCTTTAAAGTCCTTTTATGTGATGCTATGTGTCACTGCGCTGTAATGCTAAAGTCAGACAAAACAGGTTTAATTCCTGCCAGTGGATGAAGTGGTTTGCATTCTTTCATCTTGCACAGTACTGACGCAGCATGTTTTCAGTACCCTAGGCAAAGTATTCACTGAGGCCACTGACTGCCACAAGGCTCCCAGCAGGCTATGGGGCAGGTTCAGCTGCTTCCTGTCTGCTCACCTCCTGTTACACAGAGGGTGCGATGCAGGGAGTAGCACCACTAATAATATGCAGACACACTGCTGGGAGAGAGCGAACCGGCATCTCCTGCACTGTCCACTTCAATGATTGAGCTGAGTGTCATCATGCAATCAGCTGGCCAAACTGCCATGGAAAATGAAGGCTGTCTGAGCACACACAATGTAAAATAAATCCTTTACAAAATTATCTAAATAGGAAGAAAAAATAACAAATCACAGGACATGTTTTTGTACTTTGGGGGGGGGGGCAGTCATGCTAACTATAGTCCCCCTTAAGCCTCCTGGGAGAGGGAGAGAGAATAATCCTTGTTGCAGTCTCAGAAGGATGGAAATAATTAGTTAATACCTTTGCACAGTCTAAGCTTGTGATTTCCTTGTGTCTATGTAACGCAAGAAAATGAACTCCCCTTGTGCATTTGCGAAACTGTCGATCGCCATACTTCAGCGATGGTATGTTCGTCCATGTCATGTCTACAGCTACTGCTTGTCAATCAGTCTTCCAGTGTAAACCATTTAAAATTTAGTGGTGACCAATTTGCAACTCAGCATACTCCTGATTGACAGCTCCCTGAAGACATCTCCATTACACTATCATGATGAGTGAGAACACAGAGGAGAAAAGATAGAGGGCTTCCTGTGGGAGTCAGGCATTCTTCCACTAATATTAATCACGCATATATTTATCGTAGAGGGAAAAATGTGAAGATACTTTTAGATAGCTCTGGTCAGTATCCATCTCATGGATTAAAAATGTGACAAATAAGCCTTTTTTTCACAGATATGAAAAAGATAATTGTGCCTTGTCTGTAACTGCTGCATACACAACGAATTGGTGTCACAGAAATCTTGTTAATGAGATGAGACAATTTTACTGCCTTACCTGCAGCTCACACCAGGCCACCTCCACCCAGGTCTCAGTATCCAGGCCTTTGTAGACTGTCTTGAAGGAACCTCTCCCCAGCTCTATGTCAAATTTAAGGAACCTTCCCCCTGGAGACGTGGAGACTGCCTTCATCTCTGCCTCCTCCTCATTCTCCTCACTGGCTGCCTTGACAGCAGCTTTACCACCATCACTGCATGTAACATTTAGCGCGTCTCCACCTTTCTCCTTGTCCTCATCGGCGCTGGCGCTCTCTGTTGCACTGTCTTTAAGCCCACCTTGACTTTCAGTGCTGGATCCCTCCTGTATCCCACAGCTGGTCCCTCTTGACCTGTCCACAATTGTTCGCAGGTTAATGTTTAGGATCTTACTCCTGTTATTACATTCAGGTGCTTCAAAGGCCTGCTCATCTGTGTCTGAAAACCACAAACTTCTCCTGATGAATCTCTGATGCACAATCCTCTGATAACTGGAGGAAGGATATGCGCTGGGGTCACTCCCACCTCTCACTACAGAGTCCACAAGACTGACGGGTCCATCACCCATGGCCTCGCGCACATTTTTGCCCGGTTCACACTGAGACTTGGTTACAGGCGAATTTCTCAGGTCTTGATGGTCCCCGGAGCCTGATTTAGACTCCGGCTCCATGGTGACTTAAAAGTTCAGTCGCCTTGGTTTCCAGGTCATTCGTGCCATCACGGGTAGACTTTCCAACACGCAGATCGACAGATGAATACCTGCAGCGCCCACTCGGTGACGCAGTTTGCCGGGAGAGGCCCTTAACAACACTGGGATGGATGAGATAGACAAGATTTTATCCGCTAATAATAATAACAATAATAATAATAATAATAATAATAAAAAGAACCTGCAAAAGAAATGCGATATGCCCCAGTTATACATTATTGCTAAAGCTATCGATGGGCGTTAAGCATGGTAATCACTGAGGTGAAGTTAGCTGCTGTCAGTAAGAGGGGGTTGACAAAAAGACAAGCCCAGGAGTTAAAGCATTGCTTCCAGAAGCCATCGTCGTCCAGGTGACCGAGAAACTAGCAAGCTGGCTTCGGCGACATAAGTTTGGCAACTAGCTAGCACTAAATTCCCCCCAGTATACCCACAATATTATCTTACGTTCAAATACTGACATTAAAAAAATAAGGCACGACTTACCTTGTTCAAAAAAGGGGCATAAAAAACACCCTCGAGTATAACTGACGCTAGTGACACACAGCAGAGACCAACCTGCCAGGTCCAGTAGCAGCACTCAAAAAAATCCTCGCCAACGTTAGCCGACTGTCCACGACAAAAGGTGGACTTCAAAAACGCCCTATCTGCATATTATCTCCATTTTCAAGCACAGGAGCCGCCCCAGCGACCGCAAACAAATTCGGGCTTTCTTAACTGAACACATACCACATCCTGACAAGAAATAACTGACGAATTTCTTGTATTTATCTCCTTTTAAGTCCCCGCATCCCTCTCTTCAATTGCAGCTCCCGATGCGACTCTCCCCACTGTTTCTTCTTCTTCTTCGCTGCCGCGTAAGTAAATAGCACACACGGGTCGCTTTAAGACTCGGGTTTTTTTTATTTTTCCTGTAGTCCCCTCGGTAGTTAACTTAAACCAACAGCTGTTTGCGCTTGTCATCGCCTTCCACCATTTGGTTAGTGCACCGGTGAGGTACACCAAATGTGTTTCCCATTCAGTTCGCTTGGCTCCACGCCCCTGGTGAGGACTATAGAAGGGAGGAGGGTGGAGGTGGGGGGAATGGTCCATCCAATCATACGGCACTCTGGGACGCCACAGAAAGCCTACTCATCATATTGCTGTGCTGTCCAACAGACAGAGTGACACGGGGTGAGACAAAGGCTGATTAGAGTCAGTGCAAGTAAATTACACAGCAATTGAAAACATAAATAAATAATTTCTCACACCCTTTGCAGACTCAGTCACGTGTCTTAACTCCCGAGCCTGCTGTTGAAACAACATTTTTCCATTATCACTGCTGTTGTGTCACTATAATATAGTAGTTACACGTGCATCAGTAGCTCTGTCACGTAGCCTTGGCTACGTGCTTGCGGGTCCAGTCTTCTCTACCCCTACAGGATATTTTGCCACTTTGCTGCAGCCTGCATCTGAGGTGTAGCAGCTCTTCGCACAGGGCAAAAATGAGCAGCAGCATCAACAGGTTAAGTGGCACCGAGGTAAGATATTTGCAGCCCCTTTTTAACATTCATCGAGGGAAAAGGTAAATCCTCTGGTTTATAGATGTCTATAGGCTAAGTAGATTGATCTTACAAATTGACATGCTCACAAGTGCAATAAATAAAAGATGCACGAAGAAAGATTACCTGATTAATAAGAGTATTCTTGCTGTTTTGCATGCTTTTATACAGTAGAATAGAAGGAGTGTTAATACAGTGCAAAAATGCACGGACCGCAAAGCAATCGCTTGGATATGGGCACTTGGGAAATGTGCTGTCAATCATTTTTGTTTAGGTTGAATTTTTTGTTGCAAGAAGTGTTGATTCATTGTCGTGGTCATTTCTGTACCCAGAGTTGTCGGTTGTTACTTTTTATTGTAAGCCGATCGTGTAAAAGTATCCACCTCCTGCGGTTTCTGCGCTTCCATGCCACTTCTGTGCCTTTTCTCATGTTACATGTCATCTGCATGTGAGGTACATTCAGAGGTGCATACGCTTTGCAGAATAGAAGTGGTGCTGAATAAGACGGATTTTATGTCTCCGCAGAAGCATTTGAACAGACATCTTAAAGTCTTTTGCAAGCATGCTGGGTCAGATGACAGTCTGGTCTGGCTTAGGGGTGAAGTATTGTTGGTACCTGAGTGACCTTATAAACAATGAATGCCCTCCTTTGTTACCAGTGCACTGGCTTAAATGCACATAAAAACAGACACCAGGTTTTACTTTTGTATTACATCATCCTGCTTCATGCCACAACTGTAAAGCTCACAGATTGATTACTTTAGTTTATTAGGCAATTGAAGCTGCCATTTAAGAGTAGTTCAGTCCTGGATCTAATGTGCAGCATCCAGTTTTACAGGGCAGGGAAATGGACTTCACTCTGTTATCCGCATGGTCACTGTCTTAATAGCGCCATTTAATTTCAGATGTGTGTGTGTGTGTGTGTGTGTGTGTGTGTGTGTGTGTGTGTGTGTGTGTGTGTGTGTGTGTGTGAATTTGAGGAAGAAGGCAGGAGGAAGAGAGACCCTGGCAGCCACAGATACTTCCTTGCAACAGTCAGAGCTCAGCCAGCATTTGCAAAATGTAATACCCTTACGCTCGATAAAATGAGCAATTGATCTCATTTACAATGTGTCCCCCACCAGTGTGAGTCAATATGAGTGTTTTTTTTTTCAATCCGTGGCTCTTGTAGGGTGAATATCTCACAGGAAGACTTTCTGCAGGCTTTTAATATCCTTGCCTGCCTTTCACTGAAATCTAAAACCGATGAGATGAGTCAGATTTCACTTTCTTTGATAACCCGTAGTTTAAACTGCAGCTTTTCACTAAATGAGAAAGTGTTTTTGATTTGTTTGGGGGTTTTTTTCCCACCATAAGTGCCTTAGCTGCATAGACCACACTCAGAAACAGTCATGTTTGCTTTGCTTTGTGCAAGGCTGTAAAACTAAAAGCTCTACAGAGATTCATGGAAATTAGATTTACAGTTGGGTCGATTGTCATCTGGAAGCTGGCCAGATTTTGAGGTGAGGGAGAGAAGAAGGCTGCTGATAGGACATGATGGATGGAGAGCAAAGAAGTGCTTATGCACGAGGGAAAAAAAAGTAAGTGAAATACTCACTCATGCAGTTAGAGTTAATTTAGCATTTCATCATATAGCTGAACACGGGCTCAATTAACTAAATAATAAATGTACGGTTTCACTGTCTTAAGTGGTGTCTTGCTTTGTTGCCTTGAAGAGCTTTCTACATGTCAGACACAGAGCTTAACAATACAAAGCTAAAGGCACTGCATACTCTCTAAGTAACTTACATGCGGGTGTAATCAGTTAGTGTGACGACATGGGAAAAGGAGAAAAGTTTAGGATTAGGTGTGCAAGTTGAATGAGTTCATTTAGTTTTTGGGAAATCAGCCAAAACGTTCATTTGCTTCTGAATACACAATGAAAAATGGATTTATTTGATCTGAGGTTTGGGTTAAATCACGGGAATTAAGAAATTGCAGTCTTTCCAAAGTTGTAAAAAGCATGTATTATACAACTCTGCATCTAGCTTTAGCATTAAAAAAATATGAGAAGTAGCGAATGTGAATTGAAGGGTCTTTTATTTGTTTTTCACCCTTGGTAATCCTTTGCATTCTGCAACCCAGGTTGAAAGGTAAATTAATGTCATATTTTCTCATTCAATTCAATTCAGCTTCAATTTTATTGGTATAGCGCCAAATCACAACAACAGTTGCCTCAAGGCGCTTTATATTGTTAGGTAAAGACCCTAGAATAATACAAAGAAAACAGAGGAAACCCCAACAATCATATGACCCCCTATGACCAAGCGCTTTGGTGACAGTGGGAAGAAAAACTTCCTTTTAACAGGAAGAAACCCCCAGCAGAACCAGTTTTATTCTCAGTTTTATTTATGTGATTTATAGGAATGATTTCAATTGCTCAGTCAAGCGCTTAGGTCAACATTCATTGTTTGAAGAAGCCCTATATAAATAACTTACTGATTAGCTGGTTTTCCTTCTCATTCCCACATTGTAGTGTTAGTGACACCTTACAGCAGAAACTGAATAATGTTAAATATTATTACATGATTTCATCTGTTATTCCACAGTGACACATAACTGAGAGTTAAGATCCAAACAACTTTTATGTCTCTGACTATCTCCCCCTCCCTCGTTACCTTGCTCCTTCTCTCCCCTCGGTGTATCTCCCCCGAGACTGATTCAGACTAGAAATGCACTGTGAATAATTCATCACAAAAATCAGCACTGAAACCTAGAACCAGTACAGCACAACTGATTTAATGAGAACTTTTCTCTTTTTGTTCCTACAGTTTAGATAGCTATAAATCTGGTGTGCCTAGATGACTGACAAGCACTGGGTTTCTCTGGGATATAAAATTCTTTCCAAAAATGCCAATTGTGAGTTGCCTTCCACTTTTTTCCCAAATATTATTCAAACGAAAACCAGGATCACGTACATTCTCTTTTTAAAAAAAATAATTTGTTGCATGTTATCCCTCCACTCCACTCACAGCTGTTGAGTAAGACACATTATAAGAGCCTGTATTTGCTATCGTTTTTGCACTGAATGTCTCCTCTACTGTGATTAGTTGTTGTGCTATTTTGCCAGCTGTATGATGCGAGTAGACAGCAGGATTAATCGTGATAAATAGCTTGGGCAGACAGAGGAAATGACCTTTAGATTTGGCCTACGCACATGTCAAAAAGGAGTTCTTTTTTGGAAAAAATTAAACCTCCTGCGTTTCTAGACATAGTGACTCCATATTTCCAACCTGCGATCTCACAACAAGTATTATCTCACTGTGGTCTGTTGACTCTGGGATAAAGGGCTGTATTTTTTGAAAAACCTATGTCAGTGTGTGAGAGCAGAAAGGCTGACCCTGACACGTCATGACAGTATGCCATTTGTGGTATTTGGAGCAGATCACAGTCACAGGACACCCTGCCACACCACATTGCTTTCCAGCGAAAATGCATGTTTGGCTTCACAAAGCATGTCCTAAAATGTGTTTTAATTCCTCGTTGTGAAGGTGTAACACAGTGCAGTGGATCTTTGAGTTGAAAGGATTTGGAAAAAACACATTTTGTTTTTTGTTTTGTTTGTTTTTTTAGCATTTGCTGGATACTGCCGAGATGTCTCTGAAGTGTTCACATGAATCTATGATAAAGCATAAAAGTTAAACTGATAAGTAGAATGCCAGATGATGAATTTGGCCAGTAACCCATTTAATACATCTTCTAAAAAGCAGAGATTTATTAAGAGAATTAAACATGGCTTGTCCAGTGGTTATCACAGGATTAAAAAAAAAAAATCTAAATAATTACTGCAACCAGAGTACCAGATCATTACCAACCCCATCGACCACACCTTCTGTTCAGAGTGTACTTCCCCTCATACATCAAGTTAACCCATGCCAGTTGATTGCTGTGAATCTCTTAAATACATTGTAATTCAGCTGTAGCCTCATCCATGGTAAATTAGAGGGTGCAGCTTTTCTTTCCTTTCTTTTTGTCTTTATCCCTCGAGCAGAGGGAAGACAGCTCACACCACTTCTGCAGTTTGGTTAATCTCAGACAAACTATGCTCTCTGCAGCTGCAGGGAGTGTTATGATAAAAACGGAAGATTTTGGTGTTCAGGAAGAGACTGCTGATTTTTTTTTCCTTCTCAAAGAAAAAGAGGCATTGGTATTGGCATTCATGCTTTGACCTTGTCGCCACTGAATTTTAAAATGTGGTTCTCAGGTGTAATGAGCCATCATTTTTTATAGAGACAGACTCACCAATAAGATAACTTTTTTTCCAGAACCTTCTGGTCCAGTGGATATGTATGGTTCTCTCTTTGCAGTACATAGTCCACTGACATGGAGTGAATACACAAACACACTCACAACTGAGCTAATCTAATGTTGCATCACGCTCACCCACACAAGAATCGATAGGTTACACAACTCAGAGTAAAAGTAACTTTCTTAAACACTTTTGATCAACTGCTGATTAATCATAGAAATGAATTACCATATTTACTCACCTCTCTTCCTAAGTCCCTGGTTTATTGAGTATAAAATATAACAAAATAATAAAGCACATTTTGTTCTGAAGTGAACATTTATTTCAATTCAGTTCATATATTCAAGCTGGATCTTACCTTAAAGACCTCATAGTATCACCCTATCACCCTAAAAGAGCATTTTACTCTCAGACTTCTGGCTCCCAGTTTGGATCCAGGAGACAGTTAGCCTCTCTAATTTTAAGATTAGGCTTAAAGCTAATACCAGCTCACAACAACAGTCATCCCAAGGTAAGGTAAAAATCATGCAATATTAGAGAGTGAACGCCAAAGATCCCCCAACAATTGTGGGGAGGAAAAGCTCCCTGTCAACAGGTAGACCCTCTGGCAGAACAAGGCTCAGAGAGGGACTGCCGTCTGGACAGAGGACCATAGGCGCACGATGAGCCACGAGCAGGACATCACAGAAACTACTGAAGAAAGTAGACAAGAGTTAACAAGATGCAGCAGTGGCCTATGAGTGTACGGGAAGTAAAAGCGAGGAGCAAAGAAGAAGTGTTCAGTGCATCCACTAGCACCCTGGGTTTAGAGCAGCATAACTAAAGGAATTTGATGAAACTCTTAGATTTGTCAAAAAGGAAAGTGAAAGATTAATTTTAAGAGTAGAGAGGGTGTCTTTCTTCAGAACCAAAACTGAGAGTAGGTTTCACAAGAGAAGGTCCTGATAGCTGAAGGCTCTACCTGCCAAAAGATGGGCAAACTGAGGTAAACTGCTATCATATAACACTGGTTCTTCTTGGCTTTGCTCAGCCCATTTCTGCAGCTGTCCATCAAGCTTCAAGAGAATGTGATATGGGCAGAATATGAACAAAGGATCACTCTATCACTCTACACTGATAGTTTTCTTTACAGATAAGAAAATCAATCATTTGACTGTTTTGATTTATAAAGTCAACAAACACTGGAATAGAGGGCAACAAGTGCGGCGCAGGCGCATAGAAGCAGTATAAAATGCCCAGAGCTCAATGCTCATATGACACTAGCGAAGGAGAAAATGTGCAGACTGAAAGTGATCGCTTGAAACTATTCGCACAAATGGCATATGCTGACTTCGTGTTTGTCATGTTTTAATGGTACTGTTACCGGATTGCCAGTATCTCCTTGCTGTACTAATGGCTCTGTTTTCAAAGGTCACTCTTCTGTAATGGCTGTTGTTGTTCTAATTAGGTCAGAATGATAACCAGATCCTCACCATCCGTGCTCAGGAAACACAAAATTACTGCTAGTCTCATCAAAATGATGCCTTGTTGGCTCTACTGGAAGAACAAAACACAGCACAGAGCAAGCCTTTCTGCTTGTTTCCCGGCGTTCTTCTTTCTGTCATTATCTGCAAGCCATAAACATTATCTCTGTGCCAATTACTCTCTTCTCTCCCCCAGACCACCCATCCAGATGCTTGGCCCAGAAGCCCAGCTCCTCTGAACATGAACCACTATGCCAATAAGAAGAGTGCAGCTGAGAGTATGCTGGATGTGGCCCTGCTGATGGCCAATGCCTCCCAGCTAAAAGCTGTCCTGGAGCAGGGTCCAAGCTTCCACTTTTACACCCCCACCATCACCCTAATCAGCATCTCTCTGTGTCTACAGATCACAGTCGGGGTCCTGCTTATCTTCATAGGTGAGAAAGTAAACATAGCCTGAGCCCTTCTGGTGTATCAGAGGTGTTTTTGCTGTCTGGCATCTCACATCCTTTATTTGCCCACTTCACCCTTCCTATTCTAGCAAGATTACAGCGATCTATATGCCACATTTTGCCCTACAATGCACCCCCTCCCCCATAAATGTCAAGTCTACTGACTCCTGACAAACAACCTATTAGGAGCTGGATTCAGTCTCTATAGCAACCAGGATTGAGAGGTCAAAGGGTTCACTAGGTTTTACTGCTGATATCAGCACTGCTGGGAGTTGGGAGAGGTGCTGTGTATGTGTGTAAATGTGTCAATATGTGTCAGTATGTATGTATCTCCATGTGTTGGAACAAAGAGAAAAGCCCAAAAAGAGACAGATGCAGCAACAATTTTTTAGGAGGTCTGCTGATATCTCGGGTTGAAAAATTTGTGCGTGTAAATAAAAATAATATAAGTTGGGGATAAATAAACTAATTTAGTTTCTTTTTTCCTGACAAACTGAACAACAGGTTAATGAACTTTAAGCCAGTCACAATGACTCAGCTGTTGATGGATGAGTAAATAAAGTGAGTTTTGTTTGGTTAGTGTGAAACTAACAACCCCACATGTCTTATCTACCTCCTCTGTGAAACAAAATAAAATAATCAATTATCAATCAGATATTTCAAAGCACGCCCAAATGAATATTTCCTCCCTTGTTGCTCAGATTTCTGCAAAAAAAATATTATATCATCATCAACATTGTTACAGTATGAGTATACAGTACAATCAGATATTATTAACTCTGACATTTGCACATTGAGGTATTCACATTAAAAACGTCACATGTCCATAAGACACATCCAGCACGTGAGAGTCATCACTCATTCATTGCCCCTTTGACCTCCTTCACCAGACTTAAACAGCATCCCTCGCCTTTACCAAAATATCACACACATTTCTTTCTCATTACTCTTTTCTTCATTTTTGTTTACTCTTCTGAACTTCTTTGGCCTCTCGTCCTCACATCCCTCCCTCCCCTTTGGATCCAGCTCTCTCTAATGGAGCCAGTGGTGCGTGATGTGAACGGCCTACATACTGGCCACCCCAACCAGACTCTAGCCCCCACCAAGACAGATCAGATACACACACACACACATCACAGGAAGGGTTCTTACGCTGTTTAACCTCTGGTAATTTCCATCAAATACACACACCCATGCACATATACATGGCTACTGCACACCCATTTGTATGAATATGCATTCATGTGACCATTATTCACAGGCGACTCCCTGTACTGCTGATGACACCATAGTAATGTCTTTGTCACAACACCAATTAGCTGTTTTCATAGCATTTAACACATGCCATGATGCTATTAAAACACAAAAGAAATGACACAGTTGCATATAGGAAATACAAGCTTCCCTTGATCAGTTTTCTTCCCCTGTATTGTTCTTTCTCTGTGATTTGAACCTGACACTTGTTTTCTTTCCCTGTGTGACATTTATGCCTGCGATGTATAGTAAATGTATCACATCATATACATGTTTACATTGGGGGACGCTATTGTTACAAATCCATTTCCAAAAAAGTTGGGAAGCTATGTTAAATGCAAATAAAAACAGAATGCAACGATTTGCATATCTCACAAACTCATATTTTATTCACTATGAAGAATAGAAAACGTATTAAATGTTTCAACTGAGAAACTATACTATTTTAACAAATGTATCGGGTGCTGTTAGTAGCAACAGGTCTAAACAAAAGTTGAGACAGGGCCATGTTTACAACTGTGTAGCAGCGTCTCTTCTTTTAACAACAGTCCATATATGTCTTGAAATTTAGGAGGCCAGTTGTTGGACTTTTCGGAGAGGAATTCTGTTCCATTCTTGTCTTATTCTGAAATATAGGATTGTAGCTGCTAAATAATTCTGGGTCTTTTTTGCCACATTTTTGGTTTCCATGACAATTTCATGTCTGTTTTTTTATGGCAGTGTCACCTGAGATTCCAAAGATCACGAGCATCCAGTATTGATTTTCATCATTGTCCCATGTGCACGGAGATGTTTCCAAATGATTGGAATCTTATGACGATGTTATGAATTGTAACTGATAAGATGTTCACAGTCTTCACGATTTACAAAGAGGAACACTATTCTGAAATTGTTCCACAATTTGTAGATGCAGTTTTTTTGCAGACTGATGAGCCTCTGCCTACTGCACCATTACTTTTGACAAACTCTGCCTCTTTAAGATGATCTTTTTGTACTCAGTCATGTTACTGACCTGTTGCCAATTCAGCTAATTAGTTGCAAAATGTTCCTTAAGCTGTTTCATTTAAGTACCATTTACGTTTAAAGCCTTTTGCATTTCCCTGTCCCAACTTTTTTGAGTGATCAAATTCAAAATGAGCTAAAAATTTTTAATAACATAGTAAATTGATTGCAGTAGATCTAACTTTTTTGCCACGTTAATCTGAGTTTCCTCTAAGTGAAAAATGAAAAACTGAATATTGCATTGTTTCCTTACATGCTTGCGTCATAAAATAAAAGACACAAATAGATGTATGAGCATTCTGAACCCAGAATTAAGTAAATATAGATTTGTGGTTGACAGTAAATCTTTGCGCCATAATGAGTTGGCTTTAGTCCCAGAATAGAGTAGATTGTTGTGCAATTAGACATTATCTGAGTTGTGTGTTGTTCTGCTTTTGTTCACAGTTCGATGGAACCTGAATGATGAGCAAAAACACCAGAGGCTGAACTTCATGGAAAACTTGGCTACAGGTCTGGTGTTCATCATCGTGGTGGTCAACGTCTTCATCACAGCTTTTGGAGTCCATCGAACAAATTACAGCAACTGACCACGCACACACACACAGGCACATCTCTGTATGTGTGTATGCATTATTTTCACAGTCTTTCACTGCTCCCCTCTCTCTTTTCAAACAGGTATTTTCTCTCCTGCCTTACTCTGCAGTTTGCTCCTAAAAACTTTCATGTCGTCAGCATGTTTTTGCTCTACTCCTCTTCTGACCGGACCTTCACAATCACCTACATGACCTACAAACACAGTGACCTCTCCAGGCTCGCAGAGAAATTTCCACCAGAAAACAACTCAAACAAAATACACAGCTGTTCATTTACCAGAAAATCATTGTCCTGCATGGCTGCAGGCACAGAGAGAAAATAGCGAACAAGAGAGAAACAGCGTAGCGACAAAGAGGTCTGGTACGTAAACAACACAACATTTGTTCTGAATGGACAAACAGGAAAGTGGAGACAGCAGCAGTCAGGACCATGTGACCTCATGCTGTCTGTCTCCTATGCTGTCCGACAGTGACCCGACGCACTAGCCAGACATGGATGCACAGTCTCACACACACACCTGAACACTCTTTAATTTTTAATTGCACCAATGACGTTTGATCATGTTTAACGGGTGTGCTGAGCACATGTATGCAGCACAGGGCAGGCCTCATCCGCCTCAAAACCACTACCCACCTCCACAGCTTTAACTTTACTATCAACTCTACCCCACAGGTGTCATGCCTAACATTCAGTTATAACAGTGTTTGGTTGTGCTATGAATCCCTCTGTGACGAGCAAAGCCGGACTTTGTTTGTGGTTCTTTGGACCAGAAGTAGCTGGTGAGTCAGAGTCAACAGAGCACAGACCCCGGCAGAACTACTTGTTAAAACAGAAGCCTTAATTAGGCAGCAATGCCACTGAAACCCCAATTAGAGCACAAGCAAATGCTCATTTTATACACTTGAGTGGTTTGACATAAATATCCAGTAAAGAAAATTTGAGGCTGTTTCACATAATTATCAGCTAAAAACCTTAATCGCATTCATGCAGCTATCTATAATTTCTCCAAGGTGGTTGTGAGGATGCACCTTTCAGATGGCAAAACGTCGCAATCTCATCCTTTTCCTCCCCTACAACTATCATTGGTAACCGTGGAAACAGCCACACTGAGAGCCAGATTTGATGATACACACAGCTTCACTTGGAGGAGATCTGTAGATTGCCATGGATATACATAATGTATATCCATGGCTCCTACCGCTCTGTCTTGAAGTTTAACAAAGTGACTCTGTGGGGGCTGCGCATCAGAGGATGCTGATGATCAACGAGGACTTTTAGTTCCTTTGAAGCGAGTGTATTAATAGCTCTCTCGTGGGAATGTGGATGCCAGAGTGTGAACTGAACAATCACTCTGGTGACATTTCCAGCCCCCTTTAGCACCTCCCAATTCCTCCTCCCTCTCTCTTTGACTCCCCTCTCATCTGTTGCTCTCACTTCACAGGGAAGACAGTAGCAGAAAAATGCTGCCGAGTGCAGATAATCTCCTGAGATCAGACACCTCTGCTCTGCTGCTGTGATGTAGACCTTACCTCTGATGTGACTACTTTCCTGCACATTGTTTATTACAAGAAACAGAGAGCATTCAAATGCACCCATCAGGGTATTTCAAAGGCATTCTAGCTAGCAGCATTTAATAGAGCATTTAATCAAGTTAGCTTAACTCATTCAACCAAATTGATTGCCATTATTCATTAATGAGGTCTGATCCCTGCTTCCCATTGTCATTGTTATAGCACGCTTGAATATTTTTCTGTTTTTGTGTGTGTGTGTGTATGAGTGAGGAAGTAGTGCCCTCTAGTGTATGTGTTGCTGCTGTTGAATCAATTAGATGAATAATTTAACATAATCTCCATTTCATGATGACAGTGCAGTGAACAGTGCCAGAAACTAACCCGGAAAAGCTAATCAATGCACTCCTAATTACCTTTAATTCCCCTTTGTTGCTACACTACGGCAACATATACAGCATTTAATTAATGATGTTCCCATTTCTACAAAGATCTTTGTCAAATATTTGTTGCACAAGACTAAAAATGAGATGCAAACACAGGTGATCCAAATTTGCTGTGCTTTATTTGAAAATAAGTAACACTATTAGAGTGCCCTTTATTTTGCAAATTTCATAAAAGGCACTGGAAGTGGGCTAAGGTGTGAGCATACATGTATTTGTTGTGTATTTAAAAAAAAAGAAAATCTTTGTTGTGAAATGCGTTAACAAACGGAGCAATGAAAAAATCAAGTTGTTAAATTAAGTGCAAACCAAGAGCCTTCCCACACAGATGCTCCTACTTGAAGCTCTCCTCAAAATACACTTCATTGCCCACTCTTGGGTTTGTTGCACCCAAACAACCGACTCAGTCTTTAGTAAGTGAAAACAGCTTTGTGGGAGTGCAGCTGCACAGTTACACTTGGTTATTATTACGCTTTAAGCATTTTAGTTTAAAAAAAAAAAGAAATTCATAGCTATCTACAAACATGAAATCCAGGCAAGAATCATACATACAAGTACTCTGGAAGAACGTTGCATAGTTCTGCCATTTCAGATGTACGCTGTGAGAATTTGTGACAGAATGTGTCAGGTCAAGTTACGTTCCTCCAATTAGTACTTTCGTACATAAATTAGTATGTGAGGTTTAGGAAAATGATGAGTTTGGCACAGAAAAAAAGACATTTTTCATGGCTTCTTCTTCTCATTGCCTCGATGTTTTCATTTTTTTTTACTTTCCAACTTCTCCATATGAAATGAAAACATCTCTAGCATCTTTACTCAGTCTTACAGCCGAGCAGTGAAGAAACACTCCAGTGCATCTCAAGGTTTCACCCTCTGTGTCTATAAAGAAGAGCAAAAAAACTGAGTTTTGTGTGTATGGAAGGTATGTTTTGAAATGTTGAACATGATCAAAGTAAGTAAAGTAAGTCTCAAGTCTGTGTCCCTCTCACTTTTTGTGCCACGACTCACCTCCGTAATAGTAGAGTATTGCAATTCCAACTACAAAACTGAAGCAGCTCAGGAAGAACATTGGTCCTGCAAGAGGAGAGAATAAAGTCATTAACTATACAATTATCTGATCAGTCTGCAGTGGCTCATACCTGCTTAATAAATTAGATGATCCAAAAAAAACTAAATACCACAAGCAAACTGAAATAATAGCCGATATTCTGAATGGCAAAGTCAAGAGTCCTAAATATGCTCTGTGTACATAAAGTTGTCTTGCTCACAAGCTAAACAAGCTCCTTGGTATGACTTATGATCAGGAGTCAGTGTTTCACGGCATCTCTGATGACCCATTTCCCTGCTGACATACCTTTGACCCAGTGGATGCAGCTCTGACTGTTCAAAGGAATGCAGGCCAGAGGAAGCTGCTTTATACATGAGCTTAACTGCCCTCACAAAGCTCAAGCTCTCAGTGTGATGGAATGATGAATGGTGGAAGTAAAGAGCAGTGATGGGGCCGGCATTCTGATGCTAGGGGTTAAAAGGTTCAACAGACAACTGCGTTTGCTAAAGTCCACAGCTTAGTTGAGCTTAAGGGGCTTATCTTGGGATCAGCGAGGGGGTACAGAGGGACCCTGACACATACTCACACAAACTGTAAAACTATAATAATTTTTAAAATGCCATGCAGGCAAGATAAGGAAGAAAATGACACATATAGGGCTTTTATGAGTCATTACTTACATATTATCATTAAATATATTTCGCAAGTGATTACCAGTATCTGATTTGTTTTCAAATTGCCCCTTACTTAGTGCCATTGTTGGATTGAAAGTCAGTTTTTAGTGTTTAGTCATATTTTTAAGCTGATAAATCAACAGAATAACTCAACCATTAACAGTAGTGCACTTGTGAGCTTTTCTGCCATCAAGTCAGTGACACCCTATGGATTACACTGTTCATTTGTTTGTTAGTTCATGTTTGTGATTGTATTTTGTGAACGTCATGCAACTAAATCTGCATGATTCCTCCTGAGAGGGTTTGCAAGTAAGAGTGTGCATGTTTTTGAAATAAATAAGTCCAATTTCCTGGAAAGCATGTCATGAATTGTCTAAACTATAGCAGAATTAGTTAAATAATTACAGAATAATTACAGAATAACTAAGAAACAGCAACATTTATCGTATAACATCATTGTATAAAATCAACGAATGTTTTTTTAGTTTGTGAAATCTCAATATTCTTAAATTTTAAAGATTTGAATGATTTACATAGAAACAACCCCTTTTTCTGTTGTTAATGATGGTGATTATATGTACCTCTGTCGTTAAGCACATATCGCTCTTGCCGAACTGTCTTGTCGTTAGTGCATTTTGAATCTGCCACCTCTAAAAACAGAAAGTAAAAGAGGTTAAAATGCAGCATTCCACTTTAACAATAACAACCTGTGAAGTGTTAAATGGCTACTTGGACAGCAGTCTAGGCAGCACATTAGCTTCTCTTTGCATCTTAAACAGGATAAGCTGATGTAAAGCTAGACACAGCAGGGGAGCCACCTTTATAGGACACTTTGGAAGCTGCTCCTGTAATTTGTCTAACCTCATCACACCAAACATACAAGATGCACTTTTTTTTAACATGGTAGAAAAAGCAACCAGTGCTGAAAAAAAAAAAAAAAAAAAGCTTAGCAGACACAAAACTTATGCTTTAAGGATAAAACCAGAACCTTTAGGTCCCACAAAGACATTGGTTCAATAGTTGTGTCTGCAATAAAATTAATGTGAAATTGAACTTTATGGAGAAGAAACAGCTATCCTCCAATTTGGAATCTGTAGCCAAGAAAAGCTCAATGTTTCACCTCTTTCTCTGACTCTGCTGGGCAGGCTAGAGTAGATGTCCTCTGTATGGATGTGAAGGGCTCTGTAGAATTCATGGCATGCCTCTTCTCCTTTTCTGTGCAGGTGCTTCAAGAGGTCTGCTAACCGCACCTTGGTGGGCACACTTAGGTTCCTGAACTGCAGGGAGACACAGGCTGCATTGAGTCACTGCACGCATCTGCACAGTATGCTTCTGTTTTGTTTGTGTAACACAAATAGCTGCAGTGACCCTGTGGGCTTCCTTGTCACTTAGTATCTGCGGGTAGATCCTGTTGAGCTGCAGGACAAGTCTGTCAACCAGCTCAGTGTCCATCCTCTGATCTGAGCACAGGAACTGGGAGTCACTCTGCAGCCGCTCTTGGTAACCATCGGTGTCTAGTAAAGGAAGATTGATGACAGTGAAAAGACATTGCTTAACAAGGGGTGTCAAGGCCAGCGCTGGTCAAAGCGTGGAGACCAGGTCAGAAACAGGCTATGACCCTGCACAAATGGCTCATGCGACAAAGCCCTAACAGAAGGGCTGCAGATTTTATTGTTAGTTTTAGTAATTTCTTAGTAAGCTCGTCTTGGAATCAGCCATGTTCTGAAAATAAGGAACTAAGAGGTTTATTCTCTTGTTTAGAAAGGCGAATACAATAGCTGCAAATGTGTCAGTTTCACTACACTTTATAGCTTCTATAGCATAATGTTAGTACTGAAAATCAGCCAACTACAATTTAAGATGCATAAAATGGTGAGAGACAGCAGAAAGACTGTAAGGTGTTAGTGTTAATAGTTTGGACTCTGAACCAGTTTTCCCCCCCCAGAAATATGCATGAGCATTGTCTGTTTTCTTAAAAGAAGATGCTACACTTAAGAAGAAGACGACAAGGGGGATCTATGGAAGTAAATATCCACACTGCCAATCATTAAGTAATATAGATATTGTATTTGTCCTGACCACTGTTGATATTCTTATGCTCAGTTGTGTACTTAAACAGGCTACAGGCTGCAGCTGATGAGCAAACATACTACGAATATTTCTGCCATCTGTTCATAAAACATAAACTATTAACTAAATTAGTAGGTAAGTGTCAGATACTGTCATAGTGTTACATTGCATGGTAGTTATTCTCAGTATCGTCATCCCAGTATGAAAGATTCTACTAGTTTAATATTTTAACAGGATTTACTTTATCCCAATGTACAGTTAATGCTATAATATCTCTATGGACTAGACTGACAACAGAGGGAGCTGCGGGTCTTTAATAAAAGTCTGGATGCCTCTGATGACAGAAGTCTGCCGATTTAGTTACCGGTTGTATATCAGGACAAACGATGATACCTACCCATGACAAACTACTTAATAACTATGTGTAACAACAACTACTTTATACTATGACTTTACAGCAACAAGTGGCGCACCCAGAGAGAGAGCCTGGTAGGATATCCTGGAAGTCTTGGCTCTGGCGCAAGGATACGCGCAAAGCACTCACAACAAGGCGAAACATCTTACCCTCGCTTCACAAACCTGACATACTGACAAATTTACACCGTGTGTGAACTTGACAATCGGACCGACAGCCTTCCCGGTAAAACTTCCTGGTCTCCCCCGTGAGTCGGTGCTCCGCTGCCCCGTTACATCAGCACGCTTGGCCGTGGCGTCACCACATGACCGACCTCAAGGCTACATGATGATGTTAATGAGCCGGGCAGACAGTGACGGACTACAGCTTTATGTAGCAAACACTGAAGCACAGAAGTGCAACAAATAATCATACATCAGGTTATTCTAACCTAAAGGCTTGAATAATAATAATAATAATAATAATAATAATAATAATAATAATAATAATAATAATAATAATAATAATAATAAACGTGTTGTTAAATAAACTCTCCCCACTCCAATGCATCACTCATTGTTATTATTATACGTCTGTCATTTATTTACATTTCTCAAAATTATTATTTACACACACGCCAGTTTTTTACAACATCTCTTCTCGTGTCAAGAGTGAACTTTTCCCAGATTCCCACACTCTCCTCAGCTGACAGCAAAGTTAATTATATCGCAATAGATCCCTTAAGTGTTAGCCTCAAGCAGCAGAACTTCCTTTTAAGCTCAACTCTCTTGACATCCGAAGAACAGCTCTCTCCAAGACTGGCGTCCTGAAAATGCACTGGCTCCTCTTTACAGACAGGGGGCAGTGTGCCATTACAGTTTGCATAAAAAGGCACATTAGTCTGTCAGATCAATGTCTCTTTAGAGCCATCTCGCCACTGCTGATACACCAAAACATACTGATATAGTTATTACATTCCGCAGTCCACGTCTATACAGCTGACACTGTTGAACAGATTTAGATATTAAACAAAGTCTTGATTGATGATTTTTGTGTGCTGTCCTCACACTGATATAATCCTTATGGAAAGTTCTTTGGGGTATATATTCCTGTTTGAGTTTATATTCCTCCCAGGGGCCTCATCTGCGGTTAATAGGTTTGCTCCTGATAAACTGCTCTGTTGTCCTTCATACTGCCACACCAAACCAGATCCCCCTGCTGAGATCTGGACCAGGCCCGGGCTTGTACTTTGACAGGAGGACAGGGGAGGGCCGGGATACTGAGGTGGGTCAGGTTCTGGCATTTGGCGTAAGAGAGGCTGGTTATAGTCGTGCCCAGGAAGAGCAGCAGGGGGAAGTGTGGGGCCATAGTTTGTGCAGGCAGGACAATAGGCGTAATGCTGGTGACATCTGTGTAAGAAAAGACAGGAAGTTGGGGTTTTTTTGTTGTTGTTTTTGTTTTTGTTGTCACTGTGGAGCATTCAAATGAAATTCAGCACATCTCACCTGCAAGATCGTATGCTGTCACACAGGGTAGGGCCAGCAGTGTCCCATGGAGAAAGCGGATTCTCCTGGGTGTTGTTGTTGTTGTTGTTGCGGCCCTTATGACTATATCGAGACATGTTGTTCTCCTGGTTCGGGGTTGGCTCCTCCCATTGCCACGGATCTGAGTCACTGGCATAAAAAAAACATACATGTCAGTATTTCATATTTCACCAGACCTAATATTGTATTTTGGCACCTGTGGTTGTAAATAAGTAGATACATCTATTAATACACTGTATTCAAGCAGTCCTTTTGTTGCCATGCCTTTGTCATGTTTTAGACTGTTAGAATTTCTCTGTGCTTCATATAAATGCCACTTGTTACCCCAAAGAAGCGAAATAAAGACACACACACATCTGTGTAGCAGATCAGGCCTTATTTTGTGTTCCTGTCCCATTAATGTCTTATAACCCTTAGGTTAGCAATCATTTAAGCTAAGAACCCATCTAATTTATTATTTATGCATATTTATTTGTATAAAGAATCCAGTATTTTGCAGTGTATTGTGATGTATGCTTTCCTTATAATTACATTTTACCAGTAATGATACCTCAGTAGATTTACTTTTACTTTTAAAAAAACTTAATTTCAACTTTTCCAGCAATCCTTAACTCACTTCTCCTCCTTTTTCCTTTCTTCCTCCTTGATGCAGTCAAGCAAACAGCAGGTGATGAAGGCCACAGACATGAAGAGGATTATGCCTGAACTCACAAAGGATGCCACCACAGCCACGCGGTAACCAAAATCATTGGGCGACAGAGCTGAAGAGTGACAGAAGAAGAGCCAGTTGACTGATGTATTGACTGATTTTTGCCTCATGCACTGAGTGTTTTATTTTTCTTTTTTACAATTCCATTCATCATACTACAAAACCTGTGTATAACAACAACCAGAAGTCTCAAATGCCACCTCACACAAGGTTTGCAGATATTGTCTACCTCACAGACTGCTGTAATATGTCACAAGTGTTTCATTGTCATTATCCAACAGAGACTTGCGGAAATAAAAAGTCATTTTGCAACAAAGTGTTCTTGCCAGCTCATCACTGAAAGGACAATAAAATATAAATGTATTATTATTTTATTTCTTTCAGTGTCACTCAGAAAATTTCATCTCTCCCATGGTGATTGATTCTAAAAAATATAATTAAAATTCTGCCCTCAGTTTTTCCACTTCCTCGCTGGCTGTACACCTACCTGAAATGATTCCTCGCCTCCAGTTAGTAGCATTAATATTATTGCTTAATGAGATGTATTGACAAACAGCACATCATTTTCCCTCCATTGTGTTCCCACACAAATTAAGGTCATAATTAGTGCAAGCCAAACACAACATAAGCATCTGCGTGTAACTTGGTCCCTAACAAGAATGCCTACACATAATGTTTAATATATATTCCATCACTTTGGAATAATGAGCTGACAGACATTTCAGTGGGAGTATTGCAGCCTCTGCAGTTTTTCTAGGAAAAGCATTTGAGACATTTAATCTGCATACACACACATTTTGGTAATGCATAATGAATATGCAATTAGGTCCATGAAGTGACATGTACCTGGCTACAAATGGGTTACTAATATGTGCCATTTTTTGTATATTAACTGCCATCTCAAGGTTTTGGTTTCTACTTACCTTGACAATAGGAGTCTCCTGTCCAGTAGGTGCTGTTGGGGCCCATGACACACATCATATCACTGCCTACAAGTTTGTGCTTCCCCGGGCACTGTAGTGATATGACGGTACCCACATTAGTGCCATTTCCCTGGATGATCTGGTGGTTGCCCAATGTTGGCTGAGGCATGGGTGTGCACTGAGCTTTGGAATTACCTAAAGCAGAAAGCTGGAGGTCAGCTGGTGTGGAAAATTTGCAGCAATGTCTACAGTTGTTGCTGCTAATGATGTTTGAGATACTGTGAATATGCATTAATCACACAAAGTTCATCCAAAATTTGGGTACATGTATAATTCATGCATCTTCAAAAGAAAATTTGTATTCATAGGAACGATAAGACAACTTGGAATTCATAGATTGCACAACAATAATTCAAGGTGAACTGTATGAACAAACAAAAAGGGGGTGGGGGGGCTCTGCGGATAAGAGTCAGTGTGGAATGGGGCAGTCATTCCATAGCTATCAGCACTGAACCCCTAAAGGGCTGCGCAACACTGCATGACAAAACACAGCCCCCCGTAACAGCCGAGTGCCGTGCTGAGATGAATTCTAACGGTATCAAAGAAGGAAATGTGATAAATCATTAAACAAAAGGCCTGCAAGACTGGTGGAAAAACACAGGCCATCTGGAGCAACATTAAGAGAAAAAAAAACAAGGTTATCATACTGAACAGCATGGAGCTCAGCATATTACAGGACGGACGGTCTTTCACTGTGACAGCTCAGTACACCAGCAGTTCCTGCATGTCTACAAGTCTCAGTCTACAAGAGCATGACTTCACTGTAAAACAAGTAGTTGGAATGCACATAAACACAATGACATGAAGTCGGTGGTTTCCAGCACAACTTAGAAGTATGATGTATTTGGTTTAGGGAAAATCAAAACCAGATTTTTGATTTTTTTTTTTCTTTACTCTGAGATATCTGCTTTTGGTTTTCACTTAAATAAAACAGACAGGTTACAGGGACTGATTTAGTGGAGGTTACTTTTTCGGGATTTCCATACACCTGTTACATCCTGGGGTCATTTTTGACCCCAGGACAACACAAGGGTTAAGTTGGAGGAAAATATCCAAGGAGGAGTTGTGCACTTTGAAGAAAGACATGTGGCAGACCATAAAGTGAACCAAACTATATCAAAAGTCGCTGGTAGACAAATAAAAGAAGAAGAGATAATAGTAAACCATAAACAAGATAAAATTGTAACACGGAGACCATTAGTAACTCAGATCCCACCACAAAGACACACTTCGGTGCACAGAAGAATAATTTTATGTAACTTGTATGTATGAGTGAAATGTCCGGCTGCTTGACGTCAAATCCACCCCTTTTCGTTTCCTCTTTCTGTCTTTCTTCATAACACCTGACAATTATATCAACTAACCGTTAATCGGACACCAATCCACCCTTTTTTTAAGTTTCATTTTATTACTGCGATGTCTAGTTCACACAATCTATCAGGTCTTTATATTACATAGGACCCTAAGCTACTAATCCTTACAGTGCAATTGTTGTTACAGCAAACACTGTAAGACAGAGCTATTGTACAACACACATGCATGGACGCGCACATCACCTGAACAAGAAGCACGCAAGTTAACAGAATAAAACTGGCGTCAGTGCACAAGTGACATTTCGATCTCTCGAGGATCCTGCACGCTGGCTTCGTCTAAATCAAATAGCATCTGGTTTTTCTATGCCATTTCTCTTACCTGACTTATTTCGGTCATTTTTGTTTGCGGTATCAGTCCTGGATACATCTGATATTGATGCTGTTGCCGCGGACATGGTGGTGACACACAGCCGTCTCTCAGAAAGCTCTTCTGGTTGTGCGTAAAGACGGCGCAGCTGTTCTCCTCTGGGTCCCGTACAGGGTAAACGAAACGAAGTGTCTAGCTGCTGGCGCGGCGCTTGAGTTTCTCTGTGCGATGTTACTCGCTCCTCGTCCAGTAAACAGCTTGCCACCACCCACACTGCACCGTAACATTCACTTATTCTAATGTTCGTTCTGTGCTCTGGCTGTCGCGCAAGCGGATGAGCGCTTGAGAGGACGACGAGAGATGAAGTGATCAGTCGAGACCTTGTCGACCAAAGCAAAAATGACTTTGGGGATTATATCATGTCGGGTCAAATTAGGTTTCAGGTCTGCAGCTAACTACAGCTGCAAAAAACAGTCCACCTCAGTAGGTACAAATCAGGATGTGGTTGAAAATGTGCAAAACACATGAACGTGTGAACGTGGTATATTAGAAGACAATCAAAAGTTACATCCGTTTACCAACGTCCAGCACGAGCACGTCAGCCTTAGAGCTTTCCAGTCTAAAACAGATTCAATTCAATTGTCAATAGTAATAGACTGTTGCCTGCTCAGGGACAAAAACAGCACATGCAGGACGACATTTGAAATATGCTGTAAAAACTAAGCATAACTAAGTTTGCAGTGCATCTCTCCAAAGTAAGGCTAAATGATCGTTACATAAACGGAGAAGAAGAGTTGTAATACCTCGAGTAGAAGGAGGAAATTGAAAGTATAATTGTGGTAAAGAAGGAGATCCCACCTCTCAACTGAGCCAATGAATTAGGTTTTTCTTTGTTTACATCATATGGCATCATATTCCACGTAAATTAAAAAAAATATACAGTTTCTCTGTAACTAACCACACAGATTTTTCTTAACGTCATTCCACTTCAGATTTTACAAATTAAGGTTTCCCCACCGCTTTCTTTTCCTTTTTTATGCTGTGTCACATTTTTGTTGAATTTGTGGTTATCAAACATTCGAGTCATTCAACATGTTTGACTTCTCTGTTCTACTCACAGCTTCCTTCAAACAGTTAACACTGTAAACAATAACCTCCGTGTCCAGGTATACACTTCTTGGCCACTTTATTAGACACATCTGTTTAATGCATATCGCAGCAACTCAGTACATTTAGGAATAGGCACCTCATTGATGCCCTTGGTGCCACACCCATGAGCTAAGAACAGGAAACAGAAGCTAGTTTGCACAGTCTCACCAAAATTGGACAATAGAAGGACTGGAAAGATGTTGGCTAGGCTGATGACTGTTGATTTCTGCTGCAACATTTGGATATTAGGGTCAGAATTTGGCATAAACCACATGAAAGGATCCATCATATCCTTGTGCCAAGGTGTGGGTGTTATTTTCTTGGTACATTTTGGGTCCTTGGTTGAAAATTGAGCTAAAATTGAGCATTAGTTAAACACAACAACATACCCGAGTATTGTTGCTGACCATGTACGTTCCTTTATGTCAACAGCATAAACATCTGCTGGCTGCTTCACTATACTCACAGTTCACTGTACTCAAATGGCTTAAAGTGACCAGATCTCAATCCAATACAGCACCTTTGGGATATGGTGGAACAACACACACACACACACACACACACACACACACACACACACACACACACACACAAAGCTGACCCACATCCTGTATTTATAGAGACTCAGAGTTTCACTTTGAATTGACATTTGAAAAAGCAGAACTGTTCTCTCTCGGTGTACTATCATTCAGAACTCTGATCATGCATCAGACTGTTTTGCTGTATTGGAACGTCCTTGTTTACTTGAGCACATCTCCTCAGACGCATTGAAAGTCTTTGTTCAGACAGCAGATTGCCGCATCATTCATGGATAATGCTGCAATTACTGAAAAACTTACCATGTAGAGAGGCCAAGATTCAGAAGAATCGGTCGTTATCTACCGATTTTCAGGTAAAGAATTTCTTGCCAGAAAGAATTTTTTTAAAAAGTGCAGTTCTTCTGGGGTTATTTTTGCTTTTCTTTTTTGTGCGTGCCTTTACATCCTTCATTGCTATCTGCACAATATTAGAAGCCTCCACCAAAAAAACAACGACAACTACTTTCTCTTTTAAGTTTTAAATAATTCTTTATACATGAGTGGAGTTCAGCCCCAAAATGTCACAGATGGTTACAGTGTTTGTTTGTGAGTACTGAATTTCAATAAGTAGATAGCTGTCGGAAAGAGAACATCTGAATATGTACTTCCACTTTAACAGGGACCAATTAAGCTTATTTTCAGCTTCGTGTTCTATATTCAGACTCTACGAGCATGTTATGATTCACGTACTGACCCTGGACTGTCATCTAAGCCCTCTCCCTCCATGTAACTTTCTCAACTTCCCTCTGATTGGCAGCCTCTCACAAACAGAAGGGCCGAACAGCTGGTGGTGTGGCGGTTGGTGCTCACTGCGTGCCTGAGATGACTGAATCAAGGATATTTGCTCTCACTGACATCATACAGAGCCAAATGCAGAAAAATCAATCTGACACTCATTTTTCAGTGTTGTCTGAAGAGTGAGATTACTTAAAACTTTGTTCTTGTTTACAGTTTTTCTCGATTGCTAAAACCCATTTCTTGAAACTACGCCTCATATCCTCACAACAGTAAACACAAATCCATAACATCTCACTCAATGTCCCAAACATCCTATTTCCAGGTCAAAATGAAGCTCTACACCCAAAACTATTCACTCCTGCTGAAAAACCAAACTTTGCCCTCAGACATCAAACACAAGCCCT